CGCTGTCAAATGGTCCAAAATCTTCTAAGGATCACGCCAAGTATCGGTATAATAATACGTGGCACTTGCTAAAAATCACGCTGTGTTATCACGTCGCAACGGATCTGCTAACCAGTCCGAGCGAGTGATAAGCTCGAAGGTTCCTTTTCTCTCTCATCTAATCAGAGAGAGACATCAGTCAGCTCGTTCGAGAGTATGATTTCACGATTTTTTTTTCAACTTGCGCACAACATGCGACATCCGCCCGTCGTCCGAGATGGAAATGATCGGTATGGAGTTGCCCGGTGATGTTTACTGGATATTGCTTTTCAGAGTATGTCCAGATTGTTTGTTCGGCAACTTAATTTAGTCGAACGAAAAAATCGGAAAAATGAAAGCAAAGCGACAGAGATGATGAATCACATGAAAGGATTGCATAAAAGAAAGTAATCGTAGTGTATTGTTTAGAAATTGTTAAAATCTGTTTTATAGCTCAAAATAAGGGAAATATATTTCGAATAATATCTTAAAACTAAAATGTACAAGAATTTTCGAATAAAGAATACACGGTAAATATATAAGAATAATAAATTAAACAGGTTTACTCTTTGTAAAGTTTGATCCGTTTTTTTTAATTCTAAAAAGTAAATATTGATTTTTTTCTAGATACAACGCGTCTAAAAAGTATATATAAACTTATATCAAATAATTATAATAATTGTCGAATTATTTTCGCGAATAATACGTATATGTCTTTAAGTAAAAAATTTTTAATATGTTAAAAATGATTCAAATGATACAAATATAATAAGAAGTAAAAGAAGACTAGGAACCAAAGACGCAAATAATGGTGCGTGATAGTAATAATATATTATAGTAGAAACTTTATAAAGTTGTTCCATTTACGTACAATAAAGTGTGCTGTCGACGTTTCTACCCTGCTTTGGATTCTTTTCAAAATCAAATAATATCATGTTTTTCCTATTCGACTTTGAAAAGGACTTCAACATATATTTTTGCGCTTCTTATTGTATGTAAGTGGAACAATTTTACAAAGTTTTCATCATAATATATTATTACTACCACGCATCATTGCTTGCGTCTTTGGTTCCTAGCCTTCTTTTTTACTTCTTATTAGATATATCTTTCTCTAAAAATTTATGTAATATAATTTTTATCGAATAAAATCTTTATAGAAAATTTGTCGTGCGGTAAATATAAAAATACTGTACAAAAATTAAATTAGAAGAAATAAAAACTTCACTTCTCTACAAGTTCACACCAGCATTTCCATTTCCATACGTTACGGATGGTACGGTTGAAATTTCTCAGCGCTCAATTCCCCTCGAGAACATCGCCACGGAATAAAGTGCGTAGTATGTGATAGAATAACGCTTTTTTATACAATCGTCCTAACGACAATCGCCCTTCTTGACAGAATCAGATAATCTCGTCGTGTGAAAATTATTAATTCAACATTAATTAACGATTAATGATAATCTGAATCTTCAGAAACTGAAATTCCTATTATTGCATTATTAGGATGTCAGTTTTTATATTAAAATATAATTCAAAACACATTTATATATATATAGTTTAATCATTGTTATATCGAAATTATAATGTGACTTTTTATTTTTTCAATTTCTTTTCTTTTTATTATATTATAATACATATATATTATATTAATATAATATAATACATATAATATATATTATATTATATTATATATAATATATATTTAAATATTATAATAATAATTATATAATTATTATATTATTATATTATAATATAATAATTATATATTATCATGTTATAATATAATATATAATATAATATAATCATTTTAAAATAGCGACTTTTTACTCTGCTGTCATGTTTTCGCATCCTCGTTTGATTTCTTTGCGCGATCAAAAACGTAATTTCGTCGTGAAATCAATGTTAATAATAATGATTGTTTTAAAGAAGATCGACACGACGAGAAAGATTGATTATAGATAGACGATCGTCGTTTGGCATGATTTTTACGGAGAGAAGCTATTGTTCCATGTGTGTTTCTCTCTCTAATCAACTGTCGTAATATTATTTTAAGAAATAGAGAACAGGGATATATTTTATATCTATAATATGTATATCGACTAATTAATATGCCACCTCTCGTAACCATCGAATAACGTTAACATAATCTCTTTCTCTCTCGTTTTCTCTCTTTCTCTCGGTCTCTCGTTCTCTCTCTCTCTCTCTCTCACTCTCTCTCTCTCTCTCTCTCTTGTTATAATCGCATGCGATATTGTGGCTGCCGCACGTGTTCATGGGCTCGACGTACATTGGTCTCGCGCTTGCTCGCTAATTATACCTACGGTAATTGTGTCATTAGCAATAGTAATGGTTCTCGGGCCTGATCGATCGCGGATTGCGTTCCAGGACAAAATGTCAAGATTCATAATTATCACGCCACATGAGCTCGCGTCCTAACATATAGTATTAATAAATTATCAACTGCATATTAATAGAATATTGATAATGTTACATTAATTTGTTGAGATTAATTAATTCGTTAATTTTCACATTTTATACTTTGGTAATTTATACATACATTTCATTTATCATCCAGATTTTGTCTAGAATGTTTTTTTACGTGGAATTTTTGAATTATTAGGAAAAGCAGAATGTATGATATAGTTTCTATTAATGAAATTTAAAATCTCGTTATGATAAAAAATATCATACTTATAAAATAAAACATATGTAAAATGTACGAAATAATAAAATATGTTTTTCCTCTCTTTTAATAAAATATATTATTTAAATTTCTATACCGAGAATAATTTAAATTATATTTGCCTATTTTTTTCCTTTTTTTTTTTTTAATATAAGCGAGATCATAATACACATAATCGCGCGCACGTGGTTACTCGACGATATAACAGGACTTGATGAGAGAGACGAGCTCACGTATACGCGATAGCAATGTACCTCTCTACCTTGACACGCGTCTTGATGCGCAACTTTTACGCGCACAAGCAGGATTCACATACGCACTTTAGTTAAAAGTTGCAAAAGTGCAGCAGCTCGTAATAAATCAGCATCCTTGTGCCACACCCACAGCCTCAAAGTTTACATAATACAGTCATATACGCTAAACTCTATGCCAGAGTATGTCGCCAGCATATATATATATATATATATATATATATATATATATATATATATATATGTCTCGCATATTTTATAATAGGCGCACGCATACGCACGACGATTGGTGGGCATTCAAGTATTACAAAGAAGCAAGTGTGCAAATGCAATCTTTCTTACAATGGTAACGGGATTAATTACTTATCGGTTTTTTTTCTTCATAATTACTTTAACAGAGGTATATACATTTTTTTCTTTAAATTAAATGCCACTCTTTTGCGGGGATTGCGTGTAAGAATCTTCAGACAAATTCATATTCATCGAACTAACTACAACAGCTATTGAATAATTCATCATCAATTCGTCATCATGATTATAATAATTATCGAATAATTCGAGTAACTGTAATAATCATCGAGCACAGTATCCTGCGATCGTGTTATTCAATTTAATAGTCCTTCGCGCGTATGTTTTACGAAAAGGAATATATATCCTCCATAAATTCTCTCTATCAAGTTGCATAAAAAATCACGGTGATCCTTCTCAAGTCGCTTCTCTCTCTCTCTCTATCTTTTCTTTTATAATTATTATTATTTTTTTTATAATGCTTACATAGACATCCCTATTCTTAGCACCTTAGCCTGTACTTCACGATGATCGGTATACGCCCTCTTTTTTTTTATCGCCTCCAACGTCACCTTAAAATATACACTTATACGGTTCTGGTGTTTGTGTGCATGTGTATATATACGTGTGCCGTATGTATAATATATTTACGCAGTTATATATATTAATTTAGAATTGTGCAATGAAGGTATTTAGAGCCATTAGTGCGACTACTGCTGCGGATGTGGTTGGACGATGTCGTTCTCTCTCTTTCTTTCTTTCTTTCACACTCACTCTCTCTCTCTTTTTCTCTCTCGCTTTCCCTCTCCTCTCTTCTTCTCTGTCTCTAATATCGTATATTGAAATTGTTTATGCATTCTCGCGTTTGCCAGATCGATATTCGGTGGGCACGACACTCTTTCGTTCGTTCTTTATTCCATTTAAATTTTCATACGCCGAAAAAATCTTTCTCGGAGAAAAATGCGTTACCACAATGTTATTCCATGGTCAACCGAAGCTTCTCTCACAATTCAAGTATACTTAATAAAAGGGTATTCGAGATGTGTCAATTTATCTGAGGCACGAGCCTTTTTAATCTCAATCCCCTTCTCTTTTCCCAGCTATTTAAAGTCCGTCCTGTTATAAGACGGTGTGAGAGATCGTGGAGAAAGGGTTTCTCCATGTCCTTGAAAGCAAGACAGAACGATCGTTCACGTATTAGTGATCGGATCAATCGCTTCTGTTTCTATCCGAGTAGACTATCTTCTCATCTACTCGACGCATTCTGGATTTTCAAGTGCTAAAAAAGATACTAAAGCATAAAAATTTTTTTACAGCGCGATATACCCTCATTTTTTCCAATCTCGATTCGCACATACGTTTATCATCGATCAGTTAAATTCTCATCAGCTGCAACTTTATATATACATTCTTGTTCGTTAGTTTCGGTTTGGAAATGAATATACACTTCACTTCCAATCTAACTTGAAAGTTGCCTGTCATCCTAACTTAGCTGTCATTTCACCTCGTTAACTAAATGAAACCTCCGCGCCATCTTCGCGATTCTTCCTAATTGTAACATGGACGTTATTTCCAACGGCAAAGCGTAATAATATCCGACGCTTTCTCCTCCTTCCTTCCGGAAACGCTCCTTCCTCGATACACTTAAGATTACTTTCGCATTCAATAACACTCGGTAGCATTCCAAACAAATGTACTTTCATTTTATTTCCGATTCCTCAAGCTACTCGGTCTTTTTACCCTATCGTGCTGCTTGAATATTTTCCCTGTCTCCCGCAACGTCTTTCTCGAATAAATATAATCCCCACGTTGTCCTCGAATCTACGCCAGAGAGTCCGTGTCCCTGTCATACTCCGGAAAAAACGCGATCGTCCTCTAAGTTAAAATCCTCCGGATTTCGTTCGGACCTTGGTCCGTCCCGTTGTCCCGCTACATGGATAGATTCAGAGGCGGCGGCGACGGCGGCGGCGGCAGCAACAGCTGCTCGAGGTTCCCGGCGAGATCCTCCTGGCGGTCCCGCGTAGGACCCGCTCGTAGGGCGCGTTATACCCAGGAATCGCCGGCGGCGGCGACGGTCGAACTCGGCGGAGGCACTTGATTAGCAACCGACGCCGTGACCGATGGGGTGCCGGTGCCATCCGGCACCAATCCAACCCCGTCCGGCACCCATTGACCGCCGCCGCCGCCGCCTCCAGATATCGCGACGCCACCACTACCGCCGGCCACTTGACCCACCTGGCCACCCTGGCCCACCCCCAGCTCGTACTGCCGCTTCTTTTTCTTCTCCAAGTTAACTTGCGCGTAGAGCGGCTCACCGGGTTTCGGCTGCTGCAACACACACAAGCCAACGGTTAGCCAACTGCCGGTCGCGCGAGGGGGTGGGCGAAGGTGGGGGAGAGAACCGCGCCGCGCCTCGAACCATCGGACGCTGAAAGAAGCTTAGACATTTGGGGGATATTTTTATACACAGTGTACTCTCGAGATACATCGATCGATATTCTTATATCAACGATTTTATTCGAGTGATTTTGGAGGGAATCAAATTTGTCTCCTTGAACAAAAAAATTAGGAATAAATTATTAGCTGTGTAATGATTTTTTTTTTTTTTATTTGAACTTCTTCCTCGATTACCTCGTATTTCTTGATTTCCGCATCTTGCTTCCATTATCGTAAATATGAATAATCGAGAGTACATTGTAATGTCTAGGCAAAATTACGTGAAGCTGTGATATGTGGCCTTTATTTGCAGTTAGGTATATAATAGAAGCTAACTAATATACATATTTTCAAGTAATTGATTTTTTTATTACACTGCGCTCTAGTATTCAGCTAAATACAGAATATAAATGTTTCGACGCGAGTAATGCATAGGTGAGAGATACACATGATATAAAGTTGCACTTGGAGAAATGTGTGTTTACTATAGAAATGATATATAATAGAATATATAATGCGTAGCTTTTTTCTCTTTTATGTGTCAAAATATAAATAAAATTTTACATTAATATTATGTTTTTATTATAAATCTCCAAGTTTTATTTAATAATATTCTCATTGATAAATTAAAAAATTAAAAGAGAATTTGAGAAGATGTTATACTATAATACTATTTTTTTTTTAAATAAATTTTCATAAAATACTGAGTTAAAATAATATATATATAATAAGCTTAAGAATCAAAATACTAATCTATCTAATTCTATATGGCTTTGTATGTTTATATAGCATATTTAGTGTTCAGTATTAATTATAAATTTGCGTATTTTAACTTACATATATTAGTAATTTAGACTTATATACAAAATCGAGTATACAATAAAGAGTCTATAGATTACATAATAATTTAGTTGTAAATACGTATATTTCTTCGCTATAAAATATAATTAAAGTAGTGCACTAAAAATTGACCGTAAACTAAATTCACTTTCTAATTCGAGAAAGAGACACATCATTTGTTTACATATAATTAATTAATATATGAAACCATTTTTGTGTGTATCATTCGCTAAAGATTAACATAATTACTGATGTATGAAGGTGTTCATTTAGGCAGTGATTTTATTAGTTTTTTTTATTGTTAGTGTATAATATTGTGCGTTCTTTCAGAGACAGAGGTGTACAAAATGATGCGAATACATTGAATATCTTCGCGCTTTAGACCTACAATGGTTAATAGCAATATCGCGCGATACATTTCTAAGATTATATGCGAGATCTCTTCTTTTCTTTTTTGTAACTAACTTAATTAGTAGTTGAAAAATTGTTATAACTGTGTGTAAAACCGTGCAAAAAGTTTTAGCATTTAGAAAGTGACTACGCGACGTTATTAAAAAGGGAGTTTGGTCCAGTTTCATGCAGTAATTGATGTAAATGTTGCATAAACATTATGTAAATTCTCGTACAACCAGATTCGCATTCTAATAAATATTGAACGCGTTTTATGTATGACGGCTAATTTTAATTTCGAATGTATTATAGAAACGTCTATTACCAGAAAATCGTTTACACGTACACTCTAATGTATACAATTTTTCTTATTTTCTTTCTTTTTTCCTGCACTTATCTTTAACAAAAAGTCTCTAATAAAAATGAAAATCTTATAAAATGTAAAATATCAAGAAAAGTATACAAAAAAGGCAGTCATTGACACGAATTATTCGATTAAATTGCATACGATATGGCATCTTTGTCAATTACAATTACAAATTACTACATTTAGCTAAAAATTATTGATTTTGGCACAATTAAATGCGCCAAAAATTACGTCAATGTTATTTTACGTCGATCTCTAACTGCTTTTTGTCACGTCTGCATAATATTTTATAAATCTAATTGCAAGCATAATTAAATGCGATATAAACGTTTATCAATGTTTATCGATACATCCAGTGTCTTTAAAAAAGCGACGGCAAAAGATTCGATTTAAATCTTATTTCAGAATGTGTAGAAAATATGGAAAAACTATAATGGCAACACAAATAATTGAGATGAATAAAACAAAATTTCATCATCTAACGCACCTATTTAAAATAATAGTAATCAAAGATACAATTGTTTGAAGAAAATGACACATAAAGCAAAAAAATACAAATAAATTTTCAATAAAATTGCGAATATTATATCAACATGAATTTTAATTAGTTTAAAAACTGAACATTTTTACAGTTATAAATTGTTAAACGAATACTTTTTACTATTTGTTAAATATCAGTCGATGTAAACTTTAAGACCGGTGATTTAATATATATTATGTGCACGTGTATGTTTTTTCCTCGATAATTCTATATTATATTCTCTTTTTCTACGTGTATTTATATTTAGTGATGCTGTTAGTTATTATTACTTACTGATTGATATATAGTAGGTCGACCGACATTATTCGAATTCATATTTGCTCGCTGGATTGTTCGATCCTCGTATCTTGTGCTTCCCTGGCTCGCCATTGGTCGATTCAGAGTGCTGCAATCATAACTATATTTTAACGTAGAATCGAGATGGTCGAAGAAATTTTGAAGAGACTCCACATAATAAAAATCACGAAATAAATTTGGCGAAACAGAAAATCATAAACGAAAAATAAGAAAAGAGCGGAGTCTCAAAAATAAAAAAAAACTATCAACAGAATAACACAAATTTACAATCAAAAGAAATCGAACGAATTTAAAAATGATATAATATGATATATTAACACAAATAAATAAAAGCTGACAATATATGTATATGGTAAAATATGTAATATAAATATATAATAAAATTTGTGGAAAATAAAATTTATTAAAAAAATTTAAATATTGTATAATAAAGGATATTTAAAATTAATTAAAAATTTTATTTTTTCATCTATTTATATTATATATATAAATATTTAACGAATTAATCGAACGATTGCATTCCGATTCATCTTTTCGTTCGATATATATAAGTATTTAATCAATTAATCGAACGATTGCATTCGGCTTGCCATTTCACTCGCCGCGTTACAGTGAATATCGCGCGAGAGAGGCAGGCAACATGCGCGGTGTCGTGCACGATTTCGACCGTCCGCGCACAGACGAAAAATGGCAAATTTATATCTCGACTTCCGGACGCGATAGCGATTTCGTTCTTTTTGCATAAAATTCTACACCATTTCGCGGCACTACCGTTTAAATCTCATCCCGATCGCCCGAGGAGCGGCTGACTTACAGTGAATATCCGTAGAAGCGCGCGGCGACGAGAGTCGTCCCACTGTAATCCGATACTACAAGCGCGGCGAAGCGGTGGGCGGGTCGCTCTCCGAGACATGATAGTGGTTTGCGATATATCGCAATACCGCGCCGAAAAATGAGCCGTCCTTTTAGTGGCGAGAAAATGTTGCGCTATCATTTCCACACCACCTTGCGGTAGATAGCATGGTGCGCTTTTTTTATAGTGGTTTCCCCCATAGGCCTATTCCACTCTCAATTTGAAAATTATTCAAAATGCCATTACTATACGCTGAATATATCGCAAATGTAAAAAATTAATGGTGACAGTACCTTTACAAAAATTGATCCGTGGTTGAAAATTCCTCGATAAAATGTATTGCACACGTTGATAGTGATACGATGATAAAATGCTTCAAGAATCTTTTCTTCATCTCGTACACGGCGCACTGCTGGACCGGATATCCCGATATTATGCACGACATTCAGTTTCACATAATTATTACACAACACATAATTGTACGGCCACTTGGTTTTCGTGCACGTCCGAGAAATGATTCCATGTAAATTGCGGCCGCACGATAAGTATTTTCTCCCGCTAATCCGTATGCCACAATCATATTCGTATATTCCTGCAGAATGCACTTCATTTTCTCTGTTAATTTACTACGCAAACACAAGATTTTTATTAAAACGTCTTTTAAAGCTATCGCACGCTGTTACCAGACTGCGAACGCCAGTAGCACGCAACTACAGCTGACTGACAGCTGAGCGAACATGTGAGTGTAATCTTAGTGCGCAAGCGTCGAACTCACACGTACGCTTCCATTCACATGTCCGCTCAGCTGTCAGCTGTAGTTGCGTGCTGCCGACGTACGCAGTCGGGTAACAGCGTGCGAGAGCTAAGACGTTTTAATAAAAATCTTGTGTTTGCGTAGTAAATTAACAGAGAAAATGAAGTGCATTCTGCAGGAATATACGAATATGATTGTGGCATACGGATTAGCGGGAGAAAATACTTATCGTGCGGCCGCAATTTACATGGAATCATTTCTCGGGCGTGCACGAAAACCAAGGCCGTACAATTTTATGTGTTTGTGCAATAATTATGTGAAACTGGGTGTCGTGTAATAACGGGATAATCGATCCAGCAGTGTGCCTGCGTGTACGAGATAAAGAAAGGATTCTTGAAGCATTTTATCATCGTATCATTATCAACGTATGCAATACATTTTATCGAGGGATTTTCAACCACGGATCAATTTTTGTAGATACTGTCACCATTAATTTTTTACATTTACGATATATTCAGCGTACAGTAATGGCATTTTGAATAATTTTCAAATTGAGAGTGGAATAGGCCTATGGGGGAAACCACTATAAAAAAAGCGCACCGTGCTATCTACCGCAAGGTGGTGTGGAAATGATAGCGCATCATTTTCTCGCCATTAAAAGGACGGGTCATTTTCCGGCGCTGTATTGCGATATATCGCAAACTACCATCATGTCTCGGAGAGCGACCCTCCCACCGCTTCGCCGCGCTTGTAGTATCGGATTACAGTGGGACGACTCTCGTCGCCGCGCGCTTCTACGGATATTCACTGTAAGTCAGCCGCTCCTCGGGCGATCGGGATGAGATTTAAACGGTAGTGCCGCGAAATGGTGTAGAATTTTATGCAAAAAGAACGAAATCGCTATCGCGTCCGGAAGTCGAGATATAAATTTGCCATTTTTCGTCTGTGCGCGGACGGTCAAAATCGTGCACGATGCCGCGCATGTTGCCTGCCTCTCTCGCGCGATATTCACTGTAACGCGGCGAGTAAAATGGCAAGCCGAATGCAATCGTTCGATTAATTGATTAAATACTTATATATATCGAACGAAAAGATGATTCGGAATGCAATCGTTCGATTAATTAATTAAATATTTATATATATAAATATTAATATTTATATATATAATTATATATATAAATTATATATAATTATATATAATATTATAATAATTATATATATAATTATATATATAATTATATATATATATAATTATATATATAATATTAATATTTATATATATAAATATTTAAAGAATTAATCGAACGAATGCATTCCGATTCATCTTTTCGTTTGGTATATATAAATATTTAATTCACTATTCGACTGATTGCGTTCCGACTCGCTTTTTTATTCGATATGTATAAATATTACGCTTAAGTGTGAGTCCAAGAAGCAGATTTCGGAGATTCACTGTAAGTCAGTCGCTCCTTGGGCGATCGGGACGAAATTTAAACGGTAGTGCCGCGAAATGGTATAGAATTTTATGCAAAAAGAATGAAATCGCTATCGCGTCCGGAAGTCGAGATATAAATTGGCCGTTTTTCGTCTGTGCGCGGACGGTCGAAATCGTGCACGATGCCACGCATGTTGCCTGCCTCTCTCGCGCGATATTCACTGTAACGCGGCGAGTAAAATGGCCGAATGTAATCGTTCGATTAATGTGACAATGGCCTTGTACGACATACGTTTTTCTCTGTCTTACTTTACGTCCACGACTACGACAAACGTAAGCGCTCACGTTTAGTTCTCTGCCATCAGCCTAACGCGGCGATTAAAGTGGCAAGTCGAATGCAATCGTTCGATTAATTCGTTAAATATTTATATATACCAAACGAAAAGATGAATCGGAATGCATTCGTTCGATTAATTCGTTAAATATTTATATATACTAAACGAAAAGATGAATCGGAATGCATTCGTTCGATTAATTCGTTAAATATTTATATATATAAATCAGAGCTCGGCAAGAACTGCACATTTCGATTAGTCATCAGTGGATTAAGCCTACTGAGAATACCACTTTAAAAAAACGCGTCAACCTCATGGGTGACGTGGAAAGCTATTGCCATACGCCCGCTCCTGAGTACCGAGCGGCTCGTAGGCTTTGCGCGGGACGGGGAGGTAAGGGGGGACGCGCTAGGCGGAGCCAGCTGAAAATCGGCCGAAATGTGCAGTTCTTGCCGAGCTCTGATTTATACGATTCTCTCGTTTAATTTTTAAAGATTTATTAATTACAGATATTTATTTATCTGAAATAAATATAATAAATATAATATATTTAATATATTTATGTATAATATATTTATTATATTTATTTCGAATATCTAATTATTCATAGATTTTAGCTTATACTTTGTATATATCTAATTTTATTTATTATTCCATTTATATTCTATAATTACCTGTTAGCATTGTTAGGTGAATTAGGCCCTGAATTTCTGGCGGCGACGGTTTTCGTGACGAAATCTTGCTCCTTCCAACCATGCTTTTTATACACATCTCGCAGCTCTTGATGTTGCCACATGGTGAAAAGTACTTGTCCTAAAAATAGAAATTGAATAATTTTAATTCCTCAAGTCGTAATCAAATCGGTCAGTCATTTAATTCGCATATATCGAATAATTATCTCAAGTTAAATTTATACTCGGTCTTACCTGCAAATTTAAGAACACGCGGTGTGTATTTCTGGCGTTGCCTAGTGATGTTCATTAATCTGTCAACACCGCCAGCATCGAGCAATGACCGCGAGAATTCGGCGTTCTTCTTGATGACCTCATTTAATGTGGCGAGCACCGCGGCGATCGTGTCATCGCTCGTGCCCTGATCGTGCTGATTATTTCCAGACGGCAGTTTTTGAATGAGATCCCTCATCGCGTACTTGCCTATTAATTCCTTATTGCGTTGGTCTATCGCCAAATTTCTGAGTGCGGTCGCAACCGCGCATACTACTCGGTCCACCTGGCCGCAGAAATTATTTATAAGTGACAGTTTCAGCTTATTTTAGGAGACAGGACAAATATATTATTACTATTTTGAATAATTATAATCAATAATTTTTATCAATATTTATATTTATAAATATATTGAAATATGAAGAAATAAAATATAATATGCCAGAAATGTTTATAAGAAATGTTTTTATATGTAAAGCAATAGAAATTAATTTAATGGGGCATATACGATACGATTCAAATAATAATTGAATAATTAAAATAATATTTTATACTTTTATGGAAAACTTTTAAATTGAACTTTAATTATTAAGTTAATTTACAATTAAAAATTTGGGGTACGTGTATGTTTTGTATTTTAATCTAATCTCTATATTTTTAAATATTAAGACTCAGTAAAAAATTCATACCTCCATTCTTAAGAGTTCCACTAATATAGGGAGACCTTTTTCTTTACGAACAGCTGCGCGAATTTCGATACTCGGCTGCCAGTAACAGGCGGCGAGATTTTGCAAGGCCCCGGCTGCAGCCTCTAATGTTTCTGGATTCGAACATGTTTGCAAAAGACTAAGATACGACTGGACTACTTCCGGTTGCCAGAGCAATTCCATTCCTCTGACTGGTTCGGTTCGCGGATTTGTCGTACGTGACGTGGTAGTTTCCTTTTGAACCGGTTGACCGTCCTTTTTTTTCTTGCTACCGCCGAAACAGCCCAAATTCTCACCTAAAGCAGAGAATGGCAGGAAACTCGTTAATAAATTTAGAAATTAATAAATTCTAAAGAAATATATAGAAAAAGTTTATAAAATTAAGAAAGTCGAATATATTTTATTGATTCTTTTTTTTTGAGTCATATTTATTTATTTTTACATATTTATTTAATTATTGTATTTTGCTTACTTTTTAATAAGATTTCTTTTATTGATTACTCTACGATTGCAACAATGTTATAAGTAATATTGAATAATATTAACTTATTATCAATATTAACTTATATGTTCCTAAAATACCGAACTTATATTTTTATATTTCTATCTAGTTAACCTACTAAATTAAATAAACTATTCATCTACGTACAAGAAATCAGAAACAAAACTATCTGCCATACTTTACAACAAGCTCATTTAATTTATTAATCAACTTTCCATTGAATTTTAGCACAAAATAGACAGTGTATGCAGAAATATAAATTATTTGCTTGATAACATAATAATTAAATTTTCAAAATTAAAATAAAAAAAAAGATTTACAGGAAAAATATAAATTTAGCTAATAATTTAACAAAGCAAAACATGCAACAACTATGCCTTTGAAAACTAATTATCGATGGAAGAGGGGGCTTACCTTGACATAAACTGTATGCTAAAAAGATTGAAACACAGTTTAATCCATGCTGAACTAGGATTCGTAAAAAATTGATAAGATTCTAAACTAAATTAAAAAAGAATTAATTTTTTTCTATGGGATTCGTATGATGAACTATCTCAAAATAAAAAGGTAAAAAATAAAAGTACAAACAAAAATACTCAAAATGCAGGGCCATCCTTGTGTATATATATTTCTGTACACACTGTATATGTCTATCCGTTTTGAAAACAGTAAAATGCAAATTAATCGAAATCAAAAGATAATGTGATAAATTAATTGTAAAAACTATCTCTTTGAGACACAAAATTATCTCTATGCAAACTATCTATTCTTGATTGCAACATTTTACTATTATCACTTCTCTAAGTACATTATTTACGGTTTTCAGAGTAAATTTCGTCCTCATGCCACTTGAAAACTTCCGGTAAATTGGTCCGAAAGTTTTAATCAAATTTTAATACGCTGTATAAACTAACTATCTACAACAACTGCACCGTAAAATATTAGACTGTATCCATGAAATACGAGTGTGTGATAAGATTAGCTATAATTTCATCAGAAGCAATGTTATCTAAAAGAGTAATCATGAATGTTTAATGACTCGTAAATACATAAATATTTTAGATGAAAATCATGGATATTTTAAAACTTTAAGTGCAGAGAAATCTGAAAAAAATTCGGAATTACATTAATTATAAAATAATTTTATAAACATGCGTTAAAATGAAATTTTTCGAAAAATTATTAAGTGTAAATTTAATATAATTATAAAACTTAATATCATTAACTGTAAGAAGTTATATTAATATAATTAATATAAATAACTGTATATAATAACTTAATATAATTAACTGTAAGATAATTAACTGTATCTAGAAGCTACATATTTACACGATAGTTTTGTGCAATAGCTAGAAAAGTGTCCGCAGCAGAGAGGCTGCTTGTCTCCTGCGATCTAATTTCATGGTTGGTTTAAGGGGTGAATCATTTGCCTCCTCTCGGTCTTTACACACACACACATATACATACATACATACAATAATCCGCATCTACATGCATACCGAGGGAGACTCGTGCATGTTGCGGAAAAACATATTCGTTCCAAAAGCGATACTCTCTTGAGATATTTTTTTCTCTCTCTATCTGTACAATTTGTTTAAAGTATTATGTTAACAATTGATTATGCAATTTCAGTTTGCAGTATATTAGTAGATTTGCATTTGCCAGTATTTACACGTGAAGGAGCGATCTAACGCGGTTTTTCAACAGATCGAGAAAATAATTTTTAACTCAATTATATTAATCGTGCATTTGTTTAGCCTTAATTTAATTGATTTATTTCCGATTTTTGTGATAAACATTTTAAAATTTCACGTACAAGATCATTTCTACACTTTTTGTATAAAAATATAATTATCGATTAATTTTTCATAAAGAGAGAAAAAAATAAAAGTGAAAATAAAAGTAATTAAATGTGAAATAAAATAAAAATAAATGAAGTCAAAATAAATTAAATTTAAATCTCTGTAAGAATTTTATACGAGAATTTTACTAATATATTTCCCAATTATGTTAAATTTAGATAAATTATAAATTCAGATTAATTCAAATTTTTAAAAAGAAAATTTAAACTACCGTCGAGTATCCCGAACCTTTCGTAAGATGTCCGAAACTAACTTCGGGTTACGTAATAAATTAAGATCTCCCTCTTGATCTTACCTTTCGCGGGTGCAGCGACCCTATTCTGTACCGTAGACTGTATCGGGTGTTTGTCATAATTGGGGTCCTCCACCTCCTGACAGCGGTAGCTCAAGTTCCTCAAGATACACACGCAGTTTTCGACGATCTTGTTACCGATGTTAGACTTCTCGATCGCCGAACGTACGACGTAGAGCAATGCGTCCACTAGACCATCGCATTCGCGTAGATTTTTACGCGCGTATTCGCCGGCGCTGGAGACGTTCCTCAGTACGCCCGATGCGTTTCTGAAGACCGTAGACCAGCAGGTTTCACCGCTCGACGAGCTCGGGTCCCAGCCGCTATGAGGTATTATTATGTTGTTTACCACCATTGTAACACCATCGTCGATGATCGACCTCTTCAGATCCTGCAATCGTTCATTCGAATTAGCATTAGTCCCAATAAAAATACCTCATAATTAATATATAATTAAATAGTAATCTCGAATATTAGTGACATTTCGTTCCTTGATTGTAGATATGAATAATAATAGAACAAGAGGAAATAAATCTAATCAGAAATGCTCTTTGTTTGTTTCAGTTTTTTTCTGCTAAATGATTTCGCACGCGATCGAAAGAAGAATCACTCACTTCGCACGAGGAGAGATTCCATAGGACCCCCGTGACCAGTTCTTTGATGTCCGCGTCGGACGTTCTCCGCAGCAGATTGATAAGAGCGGGTACGCCGCCGGCGTTCTTGATGGCGCGCTTGTTTTCATCATTCTGACGACCATACGATAGATTTCTGAGGGCGCCGCAAGCGTTCCTATAAACGTCCAAGGTGTCGTGATCCAGCAGCTGCACCAGAGGCGGTATACCACCCAGGCTGCGCGTCTTCTGCTTGTTCGGATCGTCCATGTAGCACAGGTGTTGCAGGTAAGCGGCCGCGTTTGCCTTGATTATACTGTTAGGGTTGCTGAGGAAGCCGATCACCTCGGACAGGTTCGGGTCTCGCCAGCGCATAGATTTTTGATCGTCGTCGAGAGGGCTTGCCATGCCTGGTACTACCGGATGACGTGATTGCAGTCGTTGCAAATGCACCTCGTCCTCGAAGATGCCGGGTGGTACACCTGACGTGAGGGGCACCCCCGGGTGACCCTCCTCGTAACCGGGCACGTCGCTCGGTACTGGTCCGACTCCCACAGCGGGCCCGTATCCCACAGGCCCATATGGCGATGGTGACACGTATCCGTAGGCCACTTTGCTCTCGTCTGAAATAGAATACCCCACAATCAGTTATATAGCTTCGTTATTCGATTTGAACGTCGTTCGATGTTCTCTCTATCGGAGTCTATTCGATTACAGTTTCGGAAATAGATAATTCACATATGTTATCTATAGATGATTCACATATATTATCTTCTGCGATAACTGCTTATCTTCCCATTTTGAAGTGTTTAAAAGATTTTTGCCTTAAATAATATAACATATATTGTAAATATGTTATTAATTTTGTTGACTTCCGATTCTCTTTCTCTTTCTCTCATTTTAGTCTTCATATTTTTATTTATATTATTTTTTATAATTGAATTACTTATATATAATAATTATTATATTTTAATTATATGGATATATACTATATGAATTATATATATTATCTTTATATAATTACTTTTTTATTTAGATTTCATAAGAGACATAGAATTGAAACAATATCACGGATCGGAATTAAAAGATAATATATATCTTATATTACATGGCAGATTAAATGGTCTCTTACATGATATCCATCAAGCTTTACGTAACAGTCGTGAAAAATTGAAACGCTAAATTAATCACGCGTTTAATGAAATATGGATAACTTTGTACGTAATAAGTAAGTCATATTATAATTACTAGTGAAGATTCCGGAAGAATCTACGTATCATTTAATAATTTTTATTTCAATATTTAAGGAAATACGTGTAAGAGACATAATAAAGAGATAAAAAAATATAAAAAGATAAAAAAGAGAGAGAGAGAAATAAAGACAAATTAAATAAATGAGATGCAATTCCATCATGAGAATGTTGAGAGGGTTTGTCATATCTATATTCCACACGTTGCTGATTTAATCTAGAGTGAACACAACAAGGAACAGACAGTCAGACTAGCGAGAGACAATCAAAGTGAATTATGTAATGTGCTTTGTGATGAAACGCGACGACGAAATAGACATGTTTTCTCTCTCGTATGGTCTCACACGTAAATCCAATCGCGCAAGCACTGGTGGTGATTTGTTAGAATTGAATTTGTCGGCCATCTCCGTGAAAAATGTAAAAATTTTAGATCACACTTGTTGCAATGTCTACGTACCATACTGATCCCCGGGACCACCTGGACTCGGAGTAATGCGATAATGGTCCTGTAAAGCGGGGTTTAAGCCAGGGTCGATATCATTATAGCTACCCTCCACGTAGGGCGCACCCTTGCGCATATATTCTGTGGGAAAAAACCATCACTTTTATTGTGTTACCATTTTAGATACGTAAAGCATAAGGTATGGGTTTTGTAATAATAGCAAAATCGAGTGAAAGCGAGAGAATTTTCTTTAATATATTTGATTTATTTTATATATATATATATATATATATATATATATATACTATTAACACTTATATTAGTGTTATAGGCACAAAAAATTTTTGAAATAGAAAATAAGAATATTAAATGCAAACTATATTTTTCTTCCTATTAACTTATAAATATGAAATAAGTAAAAAATTTTAAATGTATAAAAGTAGTTCAAATGACACAAATCTACTAAGAAGTAAGAGAAGGCTATAGGAAAAACGCAAGTAATGGTGCGTGATAGGAATAAATAATATATTATGATAGAAACATTGTAAAGTTGCTTCTTACATACAATAAGAAGTGCAAAAATATATGTTAAAGTGTGTTGTCGATCCTGCTCCTTTTCAAAGTCAAATAAGAAAAACATAATATTATTAAAACTGAATAATAAAAGAATGCACTACTAACTGAAGGAATCATATAATTAACCTAATAATAAAAGAAAGAAATCAATGCAATAAAATAAAGAGAAATTGTGTGTGAGCCTACCGTTTCTTTTTAATTTTTTTTATTTTATTGCATCGACTTCTTTTCTTTTATTATTCAGTTAATGGTTTTAAATAATATTATGTTTCTCTTACTTGACTTTGAAAAGGACCCAGAGTAGGGTCGAAACGTCGTCGACAGCACACTTTAAACATGTATTTTTACTCTTCTTATTGTAAGTGGAATAACTTTACACTGTTTCTATCATAATACCATTACTTGCGTTTTTGGTTCTTAGCCTTCTTTTATTTCTTATAGATTTATAAATATGAAATAATTACGATTTTTATTTAAGGATATCAACGTAATATTTGAAATAATATGAAAGTTTACATACATTTAAGATAAAAATTCCTGGTTTAAAAACGATTGTTTGAATAATAAATATAGCCATTGAGCTTTTTAGATAAATATTTCTTATTTTCTTTGTCACTATTTTCGTATCGGAAGAAAAGTATTTTATTTTTAAACGAAACATTAAAACATTTAAATGATAATATTTTCAATATGCATTTGAAATCAAATTTTAAATCAACTTTTGAATATGCAATATTCCGGATTAACCGAAAAAAAGCTGGCTTGTTTATTCCGCGTATACAAATAAGTTCATAAATGAGCGTAAAATTATAATGCTTAATATCGTGCGATATCCGAGGGGGAAAAATGAATGGATTCGCGGGGTAAATATGTACATACGTGGATCTTGCGGTTACATACCGTGTGGCGGGGAAGCACGACTGTGCTCCGACGGGCTATGAGGGCTGTGCGGGGAATGCGAGCGCGGCATGTAGATGCCATGGGGCCCCGGGTAACCTGGCTGCGGCGGATAACCCAGGTACGGGTCGTAATGATCGAAACTGACCATGTACGGGTCCGCGGGGTAGCGCGGATCCGCGTGTTGATAGTCTTGCGACATTAACGGCACCGACATGTAACTGACCGCGCCCGGATCCGGCTCCATGTGGGAAACCTCACGCACGACTTTCGTCACAGTCGTCACCTGAGGAAGCGCACCGTGTCATATAATCTCCTTCTGCTCTCAACGGGATTTTTTTTCCCCGGACGAAAAACGCACCACTGTATTCGCTTTCATCATATCGATACGCTTCGCGTATCGATGTGCATGCGCGAGTCGTTCCGAAATACAGCGATACAGATCTCGGCGTTGCCGAATAAAATTAACCACACACATTCGCTTTTATCTCAATACATGTTTTAAAATTAAAAAAGCGCGAATACATTAACGTCATTGAATTAAATATAATTAAAGATACACAAGTCTGGATGTAATAAAAAACACACTGGAGATTTAATTACGATTCGCGGAAAAAATTAATGAGATCCTCGCTTACTTGCTGAGAAGTTTGTTGCTTGTGAGTCCGAATGAGCAGCGGATCTTCCTGGACGGACAGATGAGACGAGTGCAACGAGTGGGTGTCCGCCTGTCCGTTACTCCCATGGTAATCCGTGTCGCCCTGTCCGCTACGGCAAATCAGAGAAATGAGAGATTGACGGAAGTGCGTACATAACGTTGCATGATATCGAAAATTACTATGGTCAGAGTAAAATGCTTACGTGTATTGTGGCATGTCGGGGGCTTTCTCCTGTAGGACGCGTCTGAAAACGAGTGTTTCTCTTTTAGTATCTATGCACAGCTTAAAATAATACTTTCATGGAAAAAATATTTTACCCAGTACACTGTATACACAAAGCTGCACAAATTTTACGGGAAACTATTTTTTAAGATAAAAAAATGATGGCATATTACAGGTTTATATAGCAATTTTATTAATATCTGAAATAAAAACTAATATTAAAATGGCACGCGCAATACATACATGGTAAAAATAAAACATTAAACTTTGCAACTATAATTCTTTAATCGATCTGAAATCGATTGATTTTTTCTTAACGAAAAAAATCTCTCGTTTAAAATTTCTTCGAAATAAAAAATATCAATTTTAATGAAAAATAAGATTCCACTGCTTATATTCTCTTGTACGATTTAAATCTATTGAGATTTCTTGATTTCTCGTTAAAGAAAAATCAATCTTAAATTACACATAAACTATGCGGAAGTAAAATAATGACGGAAAAATAGCAAGCGTATAGGAGGAATATTTCGCAATTGATACGTAGTAAGAAGCAAAACTATACAAAACGACACATACATCAGCTAGTCGCGATAATAATCTCGAAGAGGATGCTATACTAATTGCACTAAGTATCCTTCTCGCTGTCGCGTCATCCCGGCATGCTAATGACTGCGCAAACATGCGTCGATGATGGCCAAGTTACTCACTCTGAAAGCATCACGTTACGTCTTATGGTTTTAGCGAGTTATTAGAAATTATGCGACAATGTTGAGTCAATTAGTACTAATTAGGACCACAATTTAGAACGCGTTGTCCGTAACGGTTTGCGCACGCGATAAAATCGCATTATTATACGTCGCGGAGTGATTATCAGGGATAATGTAGTAACAATTTCATTATCATCCAATGTAAATTTCATAGAATTTTTATTATATGAAAATTAATAAAATTTGTACGAGATACATGTATAAATGTAAATTATCATTTGCATTTATATGTGGAATAAATCAATTTGAGAAAACTTGTTTTATAAAATTCATAAAAATTAATCCAATGAAATTAATCCAATGAAATTAATCGTACGCTCAGTTTCAACGTGAGTAACCGCGTGATTAATGCATGTTAGTCACCTCTGCGTGATCTCAGTGCGAGTTATGTTGTGCTCCTGTCTCTGCTCGATCCGGCGATTCACCAGCCTAATGTTGATTATTCGCACAATTAACAAAATTGGTTCGTTTCCATTTGCGATCTAATGTCAATGTAACTGTCTTTTTCGCTAGACACGTAATCGAAATTTTACAATTTTCAACGTTAAACACTTTCAGAGTTAAAAGAGTTTCGAATTAAGATTTCGTTAAAATTTAGTGAAAATCCGCGAAGAAATGAGGCTTTATTGTCTATTTGTAGTCCCGAAGCTTATCGCGCTAAAATCTTTTAATCTCCCCTCTATTAAGCAACTTCGTAATTATGTCTGAATTATCGCAAAGGAAAGTTGACGTCAAAGTCGTCAGAGAGTAAAACTGGAGTTTACTGTAGAAAATGTGAATTACGTGAAGCTTACAGCAAAATAGGAAACAAATTATCCGAGAGATTTATAGAGGGAAAGAGAGAGAGGAAGACCATAAAGTATCCGAAATTTTTAAAAATATAATATTATAGTTGTGGAGAATATTATGATCGATGAATGCCTTTATGAAAGTCGAGCAACGATACGAGATGAGATATGATATACGATAACGTTAATATTTTATCGAGGAAGCGTGTGAAATGTCTGTCACGATCTACCATCGGTTTACTTAACATAGAGAAAGACACTTACAGACAGGAGTCAACCAGCTGATTATTTGACATACCAGCCGATTTGTGTCTCTTGCTCCCGAGCGGTAGATGATGTTTTCTGAAAATAGAAAATTTAAAATTTCAATTCGAGAGAAAATCAAGAAAATTAAATCTTATCTATTATTTTATTTATATATTTTTCTCAACAAAATTCATCTCTAAAAAAATTCTCTATTTTTGTTTGCTATATTTATTTATACACAAGTCGCAATCTCTTATCAATTAAATACTAACGATGAGTCAGAAGTTTAGTCATAAGTACATTTTAAAGATATGTCTCGATATCAGTAAAAGAATCGATATCACTGATAAAGAAAGAGAGAGAAAGAGGAAGGGACTTGTAATTTTTCTATGGATTAATTTTCAAATTCAAATTCGACAAATCACTTTTTTAAATGTTAATCCCTCGTGTTAAATAGATATAAAAATATTGGACAGTAATTCTTCCTTTTTATTCAGATTTATCGCAATTCTTTATTTATCCTTTACGTATAAAGCTTTAATTTGATTCGAATGCTATAATCCTTAATTAGTTATTGACGTATCGTATAATAATATATTTCTCTCATCGGCAGAGAAATCCTTTTAATTCGCCACTTAACACGTTCGTGCGTTCATTCCGAACTCGATTAATTTCTCGCCCGGGCGCTCCTTTATCACGCTTCTCGATTTACCGCGGATTTTCCAGGCTGGCTACGAAAATTAGCGTTCATTGAGAGAAAAAGGTCGTTTTGGGAATCGTGTCGCTCGAGATAATTCAATCGCCAGATAGAAAGAGGAATCGCGAAAATAATCAGAATGATAGAGCAACATCGGACATACTCGGGGAAAAAACTATCGACTTTGAAAATGGAGCGGCCGAATTTTGATAAATAATCGAGCGAATTGTTAGGGCAGCGAGCATGAATAACATCATATTCCGCGAGGGGAGGTAATAGAAACAGGCAAATGGCATGAGAGAGGGCATGTAGAAACGATAATTAATTTATGCCCCAAATGCTTTATTAATGAGAGTACTTGATTGCTGCCACCGAAAATGAACATCGTTTGCTACCGGTGGAAAAATAACAAATCCCATTCCGGTTATCATTTGAGCAAATATACATTAGCAAGTATATTCTGAAAATTTGCGATTATAATATATTAATTTACAAACATACGCGGTATCTCGAAAGATAGTTTGCAAGATGATTACGATTCCACCAATTTTTCGAGCAATTAAACCGAATCATATTTATGATAAACATGATAATATACGATGTGGCTTATTCTATCTATTTTATTACGTATTGATGTTTATATTAGATTAGATTGCAGGTAAAAAATATTTGTAATCAATTTTTTTCCGTTATAAATATATGTATTTCAAATAAATTTCGTAATATTTTTCTGATATATTTACGTGTATATATAATATACACATATAATTATAAATATATCTAATATAATAAATCTATAAATAAGTATATCTAAATAAATTTAAAAAAATTCTAAATAATTCTAAATATATCTAATATAATAAATATATTTAATATAATAAATATGACTAGTTATTTTTCGTTATTGTTAATAATTTTGCAAATTGTGCAATTGCAAATAATTTTCGCAGATCGATGCTCGTGCGAGCGCACGATGCTTAAAGATTCATTTCGTCATTACATCGTCACAGGATATGTAGGGATTATAAAAGCGCGTATACAAACGTGGTTAAAGCGGGCGACGACAATTCTCGTGAATTGATAAAATGGTTCGGTATATTAACAATCGTGCACGGATATGCCGGAAGCGGAAACGGAAAGAGACACGCGAGGAGCAAGAAGAGAATGGGCAATTCTCGTTTATCCCCGCCTTTCAGAGCCGAGGGGAGGGAAAAGGGGGAGAAAAATTGTCATTAATTGACGTAATTCGGTAGCTGCGTAAAATTGTAACGCAGAAATTTTTTGGTATACATACGAAAAGAGAGGTATTAAATGCCTGAATAAATAATACACGAGATAATCCCATCTACAATATACATCTTCTGCAATATCGCAGCTGGCTTCGTGAAACAGTTGAATCGTTATTTATGCCAAATATCCATTCGCATTGGTAATTTAAAATTACCATTAATGAACGCACGTCATTACAACCAATAGAAAACCAATTACTGTCGCACATTCACAGAATAATGAGAAATAACGTGAAAACCAAAGAGAAACCATTGAAATAAATCGCCTAATAATCTATTGTTAATTTATTTAGTGTGTGATATTAATTTCTATTTAAATTATAAGTGCATTCTTTCATATTAATATAAATAAGAAAGATCGATATTTTTAATTCGGATATAGTTTAATAAGATTATTTTTGCAAGATTTGAAAATCTCATATAATTATAGAGAAATAATACATAATTTTAATACAAAATATATAGAATAGAGGACATGGAATACATTAAAGACATCATTTATCAGAACAATAATTTTCAATGATGTTTGAAAATCTATTTCAACTTAACTTTTTTATTTCATAAGTCGCTTTAAGTTAAAAATATCCACATTAATATTTGATGATGCTCTTTTGGATTGGCAGTTTTTATGATATTTAACAATTGATTTTTTCGTCATTTCATATCGCGGCGCTCTATTTTATTGCATTTCAATAATCTATTCTGGAAGTTAATAATATTCGCTCTATATTTGACATTTCGTTTCGAGTATTGAAAAATTGTTTAAATCGCATTTAATAATCCACTTTAGACTATTTTCATTCCGTTCAACAGAATTCGCTCTAGATCAAGACGAGTTTTCGTTTCGTTTCTCGACAATCTGTATGCGATTAACGAGATTCTGTGCATAATTGCAATCAAAAATAGAAGCAACGAAATCGCTGGACAGATTTATACGTCAACTTTATATCTGGCATGTAATAGTTTTTTTAGAAACGAGAATTTTCACATCATACATATTTTCGTGAAAAAAAAAGAAAATCATTATATTTACTGCTCATCTGGTCTTCGAAAATAACAAAGATTCTTCCTATCAATTTTTGCATGGAAAATTTCATTAATTGCTCCATGTAGTTGAGAATTTTTAATTAAATTGATATCGATGTCTCGGTGAAAATATCAAGTCTTAAATTAAATTGTCATTAATGTTCCAGAAAGTTTTTTAAACTTATGCATTAAAAAAAGATCTTTAATTTGAAATTTAAAGAAAAGTTAAAATTTTTATCTATTCTCAATCTTTTTTTAATCGAAATTTTAATATATATTTCCAATTACATTTAAAGTTTGTTTTAAGATTATAGATCGCCTTTCTTTCTATATTCCGTTTCGATTCATTGATCGAAAGACGATTCGGTAATTCTGGGTCAACTTACAATTCGTCCCGGGTTTGTCTCGTAGAGGGAAAGAAGCGCTTTCGCTCCTTTATTATATTTTTTTTCTCATTACAGTCAACAATAATTAAGTCGCACGCGTTACGATATACATTAGAAATTCGTATTTTTCCGGCCTTTGTGCGATTTCGCATGTGGCCGATTGTGTCCTAACGAGCGAAAATGAGTGCTCGAATGCAAAATGAAGATCTCACCGATAATGACCGCGGGACGCACGTATGTAAATACAATTGCGTAATTACACATGATGGTGAAAGGGAGGGGGAAGGAGGCGGGGAAGAAAGGGGCGAAGAAATGCAATATTCACGAAAGGCCATATCCCACCATATAATTTATCCTCCGACTTCTTAGATCTCATTTGCGAAATAGTCCGCCGATCTGTGGCCGCATATAAACTCGCGTAATCGAGTCTTTATCTCGCGGTTGTCGACAGCGAAAAACTTTAAATGGCCGAGAAAAGCCAGATATATACCATCGTAATCACTCTCTCAGCATTTTTCTTCGTTTAATCTTCGTAGTCTTCGTGTAATCGTTAAATTTTCGTATCTTAAAAACAGGTCAAAAGTTTCTTTTTTAAAATTCATTTCCATTTTATGCGCGAAACGCGAAATTGTGCGTGGAGAAAAACAAATAAATTTAAAACTGACTAATGAAATATATTTTTATGAGTTAATGATTAATTTTTATATTTTATAGACATTATTTTTTTCTCTCAACATTTAAAAAAATTAAATTTTACAATTTCTGATTTGAAACTAGAACATTGGAGAAAAGTTGTCTCCTACATTTCTTAATGTCTATTGCATTTTTCAACGCTAGGCTTTGCACATTATGAATAGATATATTTAGTAAAATTTTTCCACAGGGCACCCGATCATTGATCGATGACAATGCGAGCGTGTGTCTATCTCCACCGTGCTAGAAATATAGAGACTATAGACTGTCGAGAAAATGAAGGTTGTAATTTTCTTTTCAAATCTTTCTCCGGCCAACTTTCTTACTCTCATTCCTCCTTCCTCCATTCTATTAAAAAGTAAAGGTTTTATCTTAATTATAATATTTTTATTAAAATACGCTCTAAATTTGATAAAAAATAAATATAATAAAATATAATATAAATTTAATTATGTCGCAATTTTCATTTTTCTCAAGAAATTTAAATGTGTGCGTTAGAAAAATAAGAAATTTCTTGTCATTTTGAACTTTATGTGCTTTTAAAATTTATAAAACATACTATTTTTTATAGATTTTTTTTTCCTTTTTTCTTTATTTTATTTTCTCAACTTTTTATTAGGATAAAATACACGTGGATTAATTGGCAGCGCGAAAGACGTGTAACAGATTCGGATTGCGTGTTCCACGGTTGTTGGGAGAATTGCACAGAAAAACACGGGAAAATCTCGGTTCTTCTCGGTCGGAGAGACTAGCAGTCGAGTGAGAAAACTCGAAAAAGAAAAAAAAAACATACCGACACGCATTATATCGGTGATCGATGTAGCGCAGGAGAGCTGGCTTGATAAAAGCAATCTGTTCCGTTTCGAGCTGTCTGTTACATAGGCATTGGAGCCGCAAAAGGGGAGGGACGGAGGGGTAGATGGATTGTAATTCGAAAAATTGTCATCGCGGTTCCATCATATTCGCGTTTCACAATTATTCGCTCTTTTCTCCATAAATTTTCGT